AACTCAGGGACACAGAGGGTTGTAACTTGCCCAAAGTGATCCAAAACTAGTGACCTTTCTACTATTCCACCCCAAGTAGATGGTATTCTTAAAACTTTTTAAGAAAAATAAAATAATTCATTGACACATTATTTAATATGTAATTTTGATGTATGTTAATATATAACTTTTCAACGACAATGTTTAAGAGATAGTCTAGTTGTTTAAAGTGATGAACTTGTACCTCTTACTTTAAGAGGTACATACAGATACTCTAAGATAATGTAAAAATAGAAATCAGTTAAAAGAAAATGAATGGTCTTCCTACTCATTGGGGTTTAATCAGCAGGATTCCAAGTTCACGCTTGAACTCACCGACAGGAAATTATGGGAATAGAGACACATTGGTTTGAGGGCTTTTTTCTTTAGGAAACAATTAGAAATAAGTTTTAATTGGAAAGTTTCATTCCATCAGGGAAATGAAAAGTATATAAATGGGATGTATACACTTTGATGAGAAAATTTTTTTAAGTTTGTCACTGAATTATTTCTAAGTTCTCTCCTTAACATTTTATTTGGAGAATGTTTTATTACATTAAGTTTCTATACAATGAAATGTCTAAAATATTCAAATGACATTCAAATTAATATGGAACAATCAAGTAAAACAGATCAATGTGGTTTTTTTAAAGCAAAAAGTGATAAAATTATTTCATTTCCCAGTAATGTTCATAATAAATTGTCATGAGGTTTGTGCTTTCAACTAAAATGCAAAGCATTCTTAAGATTCCATTAAATTATTAACATTTCTTACTTTCCCCATTCCTACCCAAAGAATCTTGAAGTCTTATCTCAATATAAGTACACTGACAGAATGCAAAAATAGCATTCTAGAAAACTGCTATTTTATTTGAATTTCCAAACAAAACAACGACCAACACTAGTTTTATCCTTGTACCATTTTTAAGTTACAGTCTGAGTGGATTTGGGGGATACAGACAAAATAGCAAAATGGTATGTTGTCTCTATAACCAACAATAAACTATCAATTAGTCCCAACAAAATGTGTTTGTGTGGCTAGACTGGAAACTTCTTGAGAACAGGAATTACATTCTGTATGTCTCATGCCCACAGTGCCTTTCACAGCAGGTGTCCAATAAGTAAATGCTGATTTTAAAAATTGTGCCTTAAAATGTCAGTACTCTATGAAACTTTCATAGACAACTTTTACAAGTCACAGAATCATACAAATGGAAAGGCCTTCCAGAAGTTATGCACTCCATCCTGGACAACTAAGTTTGAGAATCTCCTCAGTACAAAGTACAATTCCCTTTAACCTTGCAGTCACAGGAGGCTGGCCCAGTCTTCCTAACTGCACATTGCAAGCTTACAGTGGCATGCAAATTACTTGCATATTAATTATTATTATAATTATTAAAAATAATTTGGATACAGTTTCATTTTTGGACAGCAAAGGTCATTCATGTGCATTTTAAGGCTGACTCAAAATGTCTGACTTTACTCAGATGAAACAAGATGAATTAAGCTGTTTTCCCCATCAGATTTAATTCTGTCAGTTGAGTGCTGGATTTCATACCATATACATGAGTTTCATTGGTCTTCTGTTGTGTTTTTAATTCTGTCGATTTAAGAATGGATATCACTCCAAAAATACATGTAAAAGATGCAGATGTTAAGGTGCACACTTCAATAACAGTTAAAAGATACTGCAGCAGCTGTTGGTGTGGGAAAGCCAAGTGATAAGAACAAGCTAACAATCAAGCAGTTATCAGTTACAGTGAAGAACAAAATAAAGTGCAGTCAAAAATGAAAATAGAACCAAGACCTGAAAAACTATTGCTGTAAAACAGCCTAATTAATCCTCAGAAAACAAAGACTTTCAGAGGGCCCTGGCAGCTAAAAGGGCTGTTACTGATTCCTCTCCAGTAAAAATCGGGCTTCTTATCATTGGAAGAACAGTGAGAAGACCAATTAAAAAAAAAACTACTAATCACAAAGGGAAAAAAAGGTTGTCATAGGTAAAATAATACAAAAACTGGGGTACTCACTGAAAACTGGAAAGCTAATTTATTGATGAAACCCATTTTTTCTTTCATAGCTAAACCAACTCTTAACCGAAGAAATTCAAGTTAGCCTGTTGTAAGATCTGGACAGCTTGATCACAATCTGGAAAACATTCACCCTCAAAAAGTCATTTTGAGGATTTTTTTTTAACTTCCAGTGGGCCTTAAAGTCTTGGCCCCATTAAAGAATTATAAACACTAATACAGTGATATATTCAGAAGCGGAATTGTTCTGGAATTACAAGTATTCTTAAAGGTAGCTGTAATACTGCCAACACAACTTTTGTACCATGTTACATGGTCACTAAAGTTAAGAACTTTATTTAATAGAAAGAAGTAATAAACAAGTGTCCTGGCCTGGCAATCAGCCTGACTTAAACCCTATTAAAAATCTATGGGACACAATCAAGGTCAGACTTGGAAAAACAGACTGTTCAGTAAAGGTACACTTAATATCAAATGTGATTAAGTGTGAATTAAAAATGTGTCAAAATCTTGTGAACTCAGTTCCAAATCACATAAAACAAATGTCAGAAGCAAAAGAGTAATTACATATTAAAAGCTTTTAAAGTTGTAACATGTATGCTATGTCAATACATTTTCTATTTTAATCTTTCTAGTTAATTTACAAACCAATGTAAGCACATATGAAGTTGCCATAACCTATTTTCACATGTACATTTATGTAGAATGCAATATAGATCCAAGGTATTGAAAACTTTCTGGCAAGATGACTTTTGTTCTGAGTAAATCTAGAGAGTAATTATAAAAATGCCAGTACCCCAACACCAGAAATCTTTTTTTAAAACCTGGTTAGTTGAAGAGTTCAGAATCATTACATATCAAAAAACTTTAGCTAGAGCCAAGGAAATTCCCTTAATTACTGTATCTGACACTATCCACACACCAATTAAAAATTATATGAATCTTATGCTCACAGAAATCCACTATCTACCTGGAATCAATACTCTTTACATCTGTTAAACAAAAGAACAGAAAAGAAATGTATAAGTATATAAATACTAAAACTTTTCCTTACATTAAAAAATATCCTTATGCCAATCTATTTAATCTCCCACATTTTAATTACACAAAGTATGAAATGGTACACAGATAAAGGCAAGGTATTTTAAAGGAACAAACCAAACTTGTATTAAAATTCATTTTATATTCAGCAATCACACGGAGTAGACCCCTCCCCTGGCCCAACTTTTGGGAAACCTTGGATACTCAGGATAGGCAGGAATGGATGAGTGGGGATCTGCATTACTAAAGTGAACTCCCACAACATGAGCTCACAGATACATATATGAATAGTTATCAATAGCCAAATAAGGCCTACACCTAATTAGAATGAATACTTGTTGAAGTGTCATTCATATACTAACACATCCAGAAGAAAATCTAAGAATTTCATTAAGCTTTCAGTGATAAAGTAAACAGTTTTCAAATACAAAAATACTTCTAACAGATTTTTTAAAAACAAATTTGGACAAAATGGCACCAGATAATCTCAGGCTTCACTTTCCAATTCAACAAATGATAGAGCCAATTACAAGCTAACACCGCTACTTCCCTTTACAGTCATAAAGCTTAAATAATACATAAAAGGCTACACTATTCATTATTACTTATAATCAGTTGATTATGTATCAAATGAATTGTTTTGCAGAATTAGTAGTGTTCTTTAACTTTGTTAGTGCAAAGTCAATTTTTAAGGTGTATCTATTTTCTGATGAGTAATGCAAGAATCAAGCAACTTTGGAATTAAAGAATTCTTATGATCAAAGAAAGAATAAAGCGGAACCTGAAGTTGGCTAAGAGATATACACCTACCATAGGGCTATTTATAACTAGGGAATTTTAATGTGGACACTGACCTTTTTTTCTGTATATGAAAAGTATTCACTAGCTTCGGGGGTAAAATGCTGAATTCCAAAAGGGCTCTAGGTTTGTGTCTATAAATTTAAAAGCCACATCTGAAAACTTATGTGGGTAAATTATAATAAATATGTTCTCTGTCATCAAATTCTCTAGTTGCTAAACAGGTATTTAAGTTGCCACCTCAAAAGGCCAAGTTTGCTTTAACTTCAGGGAATATAGAGTATCACAGACCATCTGAGGTTAAAAAGCCCAAACAGATTAAAAGATTAAGAATTTTTAAAAAATCATATCCTTATCAATCACCTACCCAAAATAATCTCAACTCCTTGTTTTCATCATCTCACTGCATCCTATCTACCCATGTTTGCAGATTCATTTTAACAAGGAAAAGGGTCAATTGCTGAATAATTCTTGATTTCTCTCCACAGCTGAAGAATTAGAGGGGTTGAAGAAGCAAAGAGCAGGAAAAACACCTCCTTTTCCCTTTGCATAGACCCAGTACTTTCTCCAAACCCAAAGGTATAAAAAGAATTCAGCACTGTATAGCCACAAAAGGAGAGCACTGGTTGCAAACAAGGGTTTATCTATTTGCTACCTGCAATTCCCCATCCGCAGGAGTCAGGGTCCTTCGGAGGGTCCTAGTCCTCTTACCTTTTTAACTTACACTCACCCCACACTCAACTTCACTAAAATAAGACGTTTCCGATTCCACCTTAGCAGAGGCCTGCACCCCGCAGCTCCTCCCCAAGCTGCACGAGGGGGTGATTCCACTAGCAGGACTGTGGACACTTCTTTCTAAAATGGCAGGTTTCCTCCCCAACATAAATATATATAGTATATATATATATTGTGTGTGTGTGTGAGTGTGTGTATATTATACATAATATCTATGTATCACCACTCTCTGTCTCTTTGACCTGTATGTCACTGCAGGTCCTACCTGAGCCTCAGACTGGGAGCCCCGGCCTATCACGGGGGGAAAGGCTCGAGTCACCGGGCGAGGCCTGCTGCCGGGGCCGGGGGAGAGCGGGGAGGGAGGCTTCGGACACTCACCTAGACGACGGCGGCTGATGTGGGCTTCTGCTCCCCGGCTTCCCGCAGTTATAACGCCATCCGAGGCCTGGGCATCGAGCACCGCCCCGGCCGCCTCTCTCCGCCCCCGGCACTTGCCGCCTTCACTCAGCACCGCTGCGTCTCCGTCTCCCCGTTTCAGCAGCGCCAGAGACCACGAAGGCGACAACCCCCCTCCCCGGCAAATACCGCAGTCCCCGGGCTCCGAGGCTCGCTCAGGCAGCAGTGCGAGGCCGAGCTAGGCCGGGCGAGGCCGGGCGCGGCGGAGAGGGTGGCGGTGGCGGCGGCGGCGGCGGCGGCCTGTTCCCGGCGGCCGCGGCACGGGCCACCTCGGGCTCCGCGGCTCCCGGCTCCTTTCCGAGAAAGATTTTGTAAATCTCACAAAATGGCGCGCGCTCCAAACCTGCGCAATGAGAAGCGCCGGGGCCGGGGCGGCGGCGGCGGCGGCGGCTTATCCGCCAGAAAAGTCCTAGCCGCCCGCCCCCCCGAGAGATCCTCCTAGCACGGACACACACACACACACACACACACACGGACACACACACACACACTCTCTCACTCACACGCGCGCGCGCACACACACACTATTTCTCTCTCCTCTCTTTCACCCAGACACTCACTCACACAGACACTCACACGCACACACACTCTCTCATACATACACACACACACTCACACACACACACACACACACACACACACACACACACACACACCGGTCTCGCCCGCAGCGGCGGCGGCAGCAGCAGGAACAGTAGTAGCAGGAACAGCAGCGCCCGTGGCACCCGCACCCCCAGCTCGAGGTGTCCGCTCTCCGCGCAGGCCTGGGCCTGATCAACGACAGCAACCACAGCAGCCTCCCGGATTCCCCCGCCGCAGTTAACGCTACCGCCCCCACCTCACTCCAAGGGAGCTTTTTATTATTATTCGGGCGGGAAGCGAAAGGGTTTAAAAAAAAACCCTACCAACAAAATGGCGACTGACCGACCCGGTCGCTATGGCAACTGTCAATCAAATAGCAAAACCCCGGCTGACGTGCTGACGTACTCCTCCTACCCCACTTCCCCAAACCAGCGGGCGGGGCCTGTCGCTGGGGTAACAGCGAATTCCGTTCCCTCCTTTTCCTTGCTTCTTCCCTTCCCCCAACTAACTACCCAACCCCCTTCGGTCACGTGAAGGATAAATTCGGTGCTGTTTTGCTGCCAAGTGTCAGAGGAGGGCGCGTGATTCACTCTGGGGAGGGGGCAGAAGGAAGGAAGGAGAAGAAGAGGAAGGATGACTAGAGGTGTTGTGGGGTGGGGAAAACAGAAAAAAGGGAGGAGGGATCGGATCAAATTTTTGTATTTCTAAGTACTGCATTTGTAGAGGGAGAGACTCTGCCCACACGCGCGCGCACGCAGACACACGCACACACACATATTTAACACATAGCCCAAACCCCGCCCCAAACTAGGTTGGCCACCAGAAATCTGGAGAGCTGCCACCCACTGGACTGTACTCTTGCGTACTCCCCATAATGCATAGCAGCTGCGGGTAGGGCCCCACTGCAGGAACTGGGAGGCGGGGGTGGAGACGGGGAAACTACAGAACCCTCCGGTCCCAAGAGCGAGCGAGTGCTTAGCCTGGTACCCTAGGGCCCCTCCCAGGAGGCCCTTCCCGCCCCTCCGCTGCCGCTGCCGCTGCCGCTCCCCCTCCGCACTGACCTCAAAAAATGAAAAATCACATCGGGACGGCTCTGGGCTTCGTCACCTCAGGAAGGTGCTATGAGACCGTCTGCATTTCAGCAAAGTGTTCTGCAGTCTTCCGAAGAGCAGCATGCAGTCTTCAAATAGAAGTGTCACCCCAAGCAGCAGCCTGCATCTCTGACAGCCTGTATCACTGATGACCGGCATCCAAGAGAGGAAAACCCCATCACCAAGGGGAAGAAAAATCTAGCTTTTTTTTTTACCTTTCTGTTGCATTTACCTGAACATTTCATGTACCGTACTTCATGAAAGCAAGGTGTCTATATGCCTTTTAAAGGCGTATGACACAGGAAGAATAAAAGTCTCAACCTAATTACGGAAACATCATATAGCTGGGCTAATAATTGGTGCTAAAGGAGAAGCTGCCTTATATGTATCAAGATCTGAAATAAAACAAGAATTCCCTTGCTTCTTACCACCCAGATTAAATCATTCAAACAGTTTTCTGTGTGTGTTTATACGAGAAAACCTATACCTCTCAATGGGTCTACTTCCCGTTAAAATATCAATCAGGCACTGCCACTGATGCATTTACCTTTTCTTTAGCCAGCCATAGGACACAATTCTTTCAAAGCAAAGACATTTAAACAGTATCAGTGGGCAGAATGGGCGCACATAGGTAACGTGTAGAAGGTAACTTGAACCTCCCATGCTGCAGGACCATCAATTTCTTCTGATGGCAACATTTAACAAGCATTTAATGAGCTCTATGTGCCAGGCACGGTGCTAGCAGGGATATAAAGAAAAGTTCAAAGACAGTTCCTGCTGTCCAGGAGCTTGTAGTCTAACGGGGGAGACAGCATGCAAACAACTGTTCAAACGGTATATACACGATAAATTGGAGATAATCAACATAGGTAAGACACTAACACTGAAGGGAATTGGAAAGGCCTTTTGCAGAAGGTGGGATTTTGCCTGAGACTTGAAGGAAGCCAGGGAAGTTAGGCAGCAATGACGAAAAAGAGTTCCATGAGTGGGGACCTGCCCTAGAAAATGCCTAGTCAGGAGATGGGAGTATCTAAGTTCCAGGAACAGCAAAGAGACTAGTATCACTGGATCACAGAGTTATGTGAAGTGATGTAAGGAGTAAAAAGACTGGAAAGGTAAAAAGGAACAGGTTATGGAGGGCTTTGAAAGCCAGAGAATTGTGTATTTGATCCTGGAGACAAAAGGGATTTAATGGAGTTGATTAAACAGGGAGGGGGTGGGGTGATATGGTCAAACTTGCTCTTTAGGAAGATTAATTTGATGTGGAAGATGGAGTCTTAGTGTCGCTTTCACCGGGCTTGTCACCCTCACCTTGTGGGTTCTTCGTTTATCTCTTCAGAGCTACCAACTGGCTATCTCAGCTGAAATTAGCTCGTCAGCTAACAAAAGCCAGGTTGAGTAACTCCAGGTCTCTTTTCAATACCTATGCCTAGGTAGAGGCCTCAACTTTCTGCCATCAGAGTGGTATCATCTGCATGTCTGAGGTTGTTGATATTTCTCCCAGCAACCTTAATTCTGGTTTTGATTCATCCAACCTGGCATTTCACATGATGTAATCTGCAAATAAGTTAAATAAATAAGGTGACACAAGTCTTCAAAAGAGGTAGATTCTAGGCATCGTGAAAACTCTCCCTTTAGCCTTAGGCCAAACTTTCTCATTTAAAGTCTTTTCTTAACCTTGAGCTTCCTTTTTAGACGTATGTAATTAATTCAAGTAGGAAATGTCAAACCACTCTAGTATCTTTGCCAAGAAAATCCCACAAAGAATAGGACATGACTAGAATGACTGAACAACAAATTAATTCAATATATTAGGTTCAAAGCTATCCTGCTGGTCTAGTGGCTCCCTCTGAAACTTCTTTTGTCATCTTCTGTGCATTTTTTTAATGAGCCAATGACTCCCTTTTCTTTTTTTTTCTTTTTTGGTGCTATACACTATCACTATCCCTAGTCTTCATCCCAATCCTGCCCCCCCAATTTTAAAAAAACTCTTCCTTGTAACATATTAACATAGTCAAACAAAACTTTTCTAACATTTTCCATGTCCAGAAATGTATTTTATGTTTTGAATCCATCACCTGTCAGGTGGTGGGCTGCATAGCTTATCATTAATTCTCTGGAATCATGGTTGGTCATTGCATTTCTAACCCATATAATTAGACAGCTTTGAAAAGGTCCCAAGTCTACAGTACTTTAATTTGCAAGTGTAGTTATGAAATATCTAAATGTCTCATCACTATGTCCCAGTTAGAAAGCAAAAGCTCTAACAATTGATTGGGAAGTTGGGATTCCAGGACTGAAGAGGAAAAGGTACTCTCTGATGTGTGACTTCTAGAGCTGTCCCACACCCTTATGCCATGAACAACAGGACACAAGGACAGGGTCAACGACAAGTATTTATGAAAAATAAGATTAGATGAGTCAGATACAATCATTCAGACAGATGTCACTGAAAACAGCCATCACTTCATGTGTCTGGGGAAGACTGTCTCCTCTACCTTCTCCTCCCCTTTTCCTCTTCCATCTTCCTGTGGAGAAAGCTTCATGTAGGAAGGAAAACCCCATTCTGTGGTCCAGATCTCAAGGAATTTCCTCTTCCCAAGCTAAAAAGAAATACAATTCCCAGCATCTGTGCAGCCAGCCCATTATTAGCTATTAGCCATTGACCAAAGTTCTGCTGTCTTTCAAAGTTGTTTATCTTTACAATATTGTTATTACTAGAGAGAGCTAAGTTGCACAATGGTCACCCTGTGGTCCAGTGTTGGACCTGGAATCAGAAAGCCCTCAATTGGGGCAGCTACAGGGCGCAGTGAATAGAGCACCAGCCCTGGATTCAGGAGGAGCTGAGTTCAAATCTGACCTCAGACACATAACAGTTACTAGCTGTGTGACCCTAGGCAAGTCACTTAACCCCATTGCCTAGCAAAAACAAACAAACAAACAAACAAAAAATCAGAAAGCCCTCAATCCAAATGTAGCCTCAAACAAATATTAGCTGTATGACCCTAGGCATAGGGTCATAATCTCAGTTTTCTCATATGTAAATTGGGAGCATTTTACCTCTCAGGGTTGTTTCTATCTCATTTGATTTGATCAGAGGATTAAATGAGATAATATTTATGAAGTCCTTTGCAAACCTTAAAGTGCTATATAGAGGCAGCTAGGTGGTACTATGGTTAGTGCACTGACCCTAGAGTCGGGAGGACCTGAGTTCAAATTTGGCTTCAGACACTTGAAATTTACTAGCTGTGTGACCCTGGGCAAGCCACTTAACTCCATTCCCCAGCCAAAAAAAAAAATGCTATATAATTTCTACCTGTTATTATTGTATAA